CTTTCTATAATATCAAGAAATGGATAGATATTCTAGTCTTCTCGGAAAAGGACGAATAAACCGTAGGCCCTGTCTCCTGCAGGGTTAGGGGTAGGAGACACTAATTTCCCACGCACAAAATTACTGTGTGGTGGATGTCCTCCCCTGGGGTGGGATGGGTAGGTAATTATACTCGGAGATACTAGCTCTCTCGACCTATTCTAAATCCGAGTTTAAATAAAGTTATATGCATGTAGGTATGTATATATGTGACACAAAATTGTGATTACTCAACCTTATCACTTCACATACCTAAACATTGATTCTACATTGCAGTATTCATACACATTTTTAAAACAATTATAGCTCTAAGGATAATATCTCCTAATTCTCCTTGTCTTTTTTCTGCTTGATAATATTAATGAAATGAAAGGAGAAATTCTAGTTTGGTCACTCCAGGAGGTGAAATTGTCAATGGGAGACAAAGGAAACTATGAAAACTTGGATTTGATTCTGACAGATCAACTGTGCACAGTCCAGTCACTATAAGTCCTGGACATTGGAGTAAACCTCAACACCACAAACTGTTTAATGTTGATATTTGAGGTTTACTTTTCTCCCTCCTAATTGGCTTCTTCCTGAGAACATAGGGACATTCTACAAAATTAATATTTCTGGTGTTCATGGATTTTTGAGTTTCACCATAACTAACCAAGGTTTGCATAGAGTGCCGATTCTGTAGATTGCAACAATGAATTACTTCCCAGATACTTACCAACATCATACTGTGATAAGACACAAAAGTTTGCACATCCTGCTGCAGCTGAATCTAATGGAAGCAGGCCTGGTAAAGTGGAGTATATGAGAATAGTCTTATGATCAAAACCAACCAAGCTACCACAAACATCAGTCAGTTAGGGTATTTAATACTATCTTCAAGAGGGTTTTGACAGAGAAATGTGGTTGAAAGAAAATTCTTTAAATTAACAGGAGAATATTCTGCAGGTCGGAAGAACTTGTGTAGTTCTATTCTCTCCTTGCTGATGCCTTGGGAACAAATTACTCTTTACTACAAGCCATCCAGAATATTAACATCCATTCTTACGTTGTAAGTCATCAGAACGTGCGTGCTTTGTTTTCTATTAAGGGTGTGTACTGAATAAGAAACCTGATGAATAAAGTTAGCCTTAATGCACAGTCTGTGCACTGTGACACCAACTTTTTCCAAGGAGATCACTTCTTACCTGATTCATTTCACCTTTCTGAATTTCTGAAAGCCAGAAGTTTTAGTTATCTTCATTAGTCATGCAAGTAACAATATCATCACTGAAGAGAAAAACTCACCAGCCACCTCATCTCCAATGCTAACGCGTGTGACTGCTGATCCAACTGAAAGAAATAAATGGTTAAACACAAGACTCAAATATAAAATTTCACATTTTAAATGTTCAAAATCTTAATGCAATGTTTGAAAAAACAATTATGTTTATGTGTTGGCTACCTCCATCTTATGACTGGTGGACAAATTGACATACTGCATAAAAAGGCCTACATTGAGTCCAATGTGGAAGAAATTTACATTAATATAACATCTTTAAGTGGTTCTACTCTTAAACCCAAATTTTAATAATTTAATAATCAGGTATATTCTAAGCGGGGATAAGTTTCTAAAGAAACAGTGGGGGAGTATAACAGGATAATTTGGTTTAATTAACTGAGTTGGTAATGTAAGTTGACCTCAGTAAAGAGTTTGAAAGGTGACTTTTCGAGTGTCAGCCCTTCATAGGAGCAAATAGTAATAGTAGTAGTAATCAAAGTTTAAACGCATATTTCAAGTTTGGCAGTGGGTACCATTTGTAACAATTCCTGATATTTCTCTTCCAAATGGATGTTCCTTCTTGCTTATCAAATTAAATTCCTCTAAAATCTGTGACAGAAACAACAAACTCATGTCAACAGCCTGAACAATGAGAACATACTGCATCCTCCAGCAGCAGAAACCAATAAAAGGAATTTATCAACAATGGTATAAATGTTATTTAAAGTTTTGCACCTTGTTACAGTGTGGAGACAAGCCACAAGCTTTGACCTTAACAGCAATGCTATTTTCATCTAGTGGTGGGCACTCAAACTAAAAATAAATAAAATGTCCTTTTAAAAAACAAACAGATTCCATGTTGCTGTGCGTCTATCTGTTTTTTATAATAAAAAGGAAAATATCGTTTATGGTGACGTCATCTATGCTTCTATCCTGCAATAGATCATGAGGACGATCCATAGAAAATGCACAAATCACTTCCTAGCTAGGCTAAGTTCTGATTGATGTCTCTAACCATAATATATGCATAGCTTTGCCGACTTTCTCGCGCAGATCTCACCGATTCACGAAGTTCATAAACCCTTTGACCATTTTCGTCTTTTCTCACCACGACAGCTCTTGTCTGCATCGTAAAAGGAATAATTCAACCGTACCGATCAATGAAATGTAGTGCTTAGAACGCCATATTGCTTTATTTGTGCTGCCGCTGTACTTTTAACTAGATAATGCTGGCGCTCTTGCCTAAGTGGTCACGCACCGATTTCCTCAACTAATTGCGTGACGTGGCTAACTGAAAGAAAAGCTGTTAACTATTTTCAATCATACGTTTCTAAGATTGAAAGAAAAGTGCGAAACTACAGAGTTTAAAGCATTACTGAATATCTGTAGGTTTTTTCTTTTATAGCTAATTCAATATTGGGAATACATTTTTCTCTGAAAGAGCTTGAGAATAATTGTTAGGTCAATGATTCATTTAAAATATCTATCAGCAAAAGTTTGAACCTCTGTCAGTTACTAAGTTTCTAAATAATCAAAGAAATGTTATGTTAATTCTTGCTGACGTCAGTGAGAGACATATAACATGTTTCTTTTCAGTTTCATAGCCCTATGAATGCTGGGTAATTTGGTTAAGATGGCGCCCGCCACCATACAGAAAATTCGTGATTCAATCACTGGAAGAGACAGTAAAGACGATTCATTGATAACAGAGGTAACACTAGGTGATGCAAGCAGCATCATTTCTCTCAGTTGTTCCCTGTTTCATAAGTGAGAATGCTTTCATGTTAGAAACACATACATTTACACCAAGTTTGAAATAATAACGTCGTGTCATGGTTAAACACCGTAATTTAGTACCCGAGTACCTATGAAACTTTTGGTTAAAGAGTAATTAATCCTATCCAAACAAAAAAAATTATTTTCGTTGCAAAAAAAATCACAAAAGGAGGTGTTTACAATGATGTATTATGTATACTTTTATTACAAAAATACTCCATGTCTAGTTTCCTTTCTGCACTCAAAGCTACAGAAATTACTGAACATGTGGGCTACTACATCCAGTAATAAACCTAATCCTATATGGTGAAACATACAGAAGCTTATACACAGAGCCTGCTTATGGAAATACCAAATTCTCACCCATGATGCTCAAATTAAATGAATTCAAACATGATAGGTTAATAAAGATGGATTGTAAAGAATAATAGCCATTCAGTATAATGTCATTTAAGATATTTATTACCCCACTCTTTCTTATTAATATAAAGAGTAAACAAATAGAGACATTGATTGATCTTCTCTCAGATTTCCGATGCAACCACACTGAGCTGGTCCACAAGGATCAAAGGATTTATCATATGTTTTATTGTTGGTGTGTCTTTCTCCTTTCTGGTATGTTTTAGTTTGCTGAATAGTACGTTAAAAAAAAGAAAAAAATTAGACTATTTATCAACTTTTTGCTCTTGCGATGGGAGGTGAACCAAGCTATCTTAGTTCAAATGAATAAAGGAGATAAGTTTCTAAAGAAACTGTGGTGCTGCATTGGTGGGGATAACAAGGTTATTTGATCATATCAACTAAGTTGAAATTGTAAATTGGCCACCTTAAAGAGTTAAAAAGCTGAATTTTCAAGCGTTAGCCATTTGTTAGAATGAATGGCCTTTCACTCCAAGGAAAGCCTAATGCTCGAAGCGTCAGCTTTTTAACTCTTTGCGGTGGCTAATTTACAATTTCAACTTAGTTGGTGTAACCAAATTATCTTAATTGAAGCTCTGTGTTGGACTTATGAACTGAGCTTAATACATCACTTACCAGACTGTAATGATCATTTACTTACATCTAAATTGAATGTAATTTGGTTTTATCAACTGAGTTGATAATTGTAAATTGATGGTAAAGGGTTTCCAGAGCTGATATTTAGAATGTTAGCATTTGTCTTTTGCTCTGACAAGGGGTATTGCCTGAAATATCAGCTTTAGAAACTCTGATATGACTAATTAACATAATCAGCTCAGTTAATGAAACCAACTTATTTGGTAAGACCCCTCTCTGAAGCAGCATCACAGATTCTTTAGCAACTTGTCATCTTTATCATAGGGTTTCTTATGAGCAGTACTGTATGGTTTAAAAATAGTGTCAACCAATCTCTAGTGAAAATTGATTTATAGAATACTTAAAAAGGGGATACTCTCACTTTGTTTACAAATTATATTGAACCCCCTGTTCAAAAAAATGAAAAGAATACCCTGTTTTTGTTTTGTTTTTTTTTTTAACTTACTGGAATGTTTCTATTTTTTCTAGGGAATGATTTTGTTATGGAGAGATGTTAAATTATTTGCTGTATTCTACTCGCTGGGTAATATAACAGCTCTTGCAAGGTTAGTAACACTTGGCTTGGGCAAGCCCATCTACCTCTTAATTTTACATTGATTAAAAATAAAGAATAAATAAATCAACAAAAAATGAATAACTTTGAATTTGTGTAATATATAATGTGTTAAGTTTCCTTTGGTAAGCTTAGCATCTTTTGGTAGCAATAAAACCACATTAGGCTTCTCTCTCACTTAGCCTCTTTTTGCTCACCAAGATGCTACATGTTACATGCTACATGCTCTACATGTTAATAATTTGGATATATTAAAAAAGTTGAAATGGTAAATTGGCCACTGTAACGATTACAAAAGCTGACGTTTCGAGCGTTAGCCCTTCGTCGGAGCAAATAGAGGAATTGTGGGTTGTGTGTCCTTTTACAGGCAGAAAATGGAGCTATGTTATTGGTGGGAACACAATATGCACATGCACACCAAGATTATCAAGTAATGCTTTTGCCTTTCATTGCAGCACATGTTTTCTTATGGGTCCTATGAAACAGTTAAGAAATATGTTTAAAGAAAAGCGTCTAATTGCCACCATTGTAATGCTGGTAAGATGTACCTGAGTACACATCTTCTATTTACTTTGACTTGTTGTTATGCTATGTACAAGTAGAAATCCCTTGGAATTTTTTGTTTTTAGTGATGAGATATCAAGCAAATTTGATAAGGATGGTAGGGATTAGAAGAGATGTTGCAGTGTTGTATGGTTCCATACCATGTGAAAGTTTTTCTATAATCATAATTGTAAGGGTGAAAGGGAAAAGGAATGTCAAATTACTGATTTTCAAACACCAGGACAGAAGCCTGAGAATCAAGTGAGGATATGTTTGTCAAGTGAGGATATGTTTGTCAAGTGAATGTCACATATTCCATCAATAAAAACTTATCAATTAGTTTTCTTGCTGTGTTTCTGGTTACAAGAGTGAAGTACTACACACCAGGTGTGATTGGTCATTTTAAATCATTTGGTAATCTTAGATTTTACTGTTCAGTTGTTTGGTTTCCTCTTTGAAATGCTGACTCACTAACCTTGATGAAACTCATCTCAGGACACACCAACTAATACTGCCCACACTACGTATGACTTATTGACAACATTAAGTGATTAATATATTGTGGATAGTCATAGAGAACTGCATGTATTCAAACAATTATCGAGGCTGTCAAAAAGGAACAATTCTATTTTGCTATACCAATCAAAGTTAATGCAACACATGACATGAACATAATCTGGCAAAAAAAGATATCCTTACATACTAGTAACTTTGTGACACTGTTAGCTAATAGTTATTTTGATCCAATTTTGATCTAGACCTGTCTGGTTCTGACTTTGTGTGCAGCTCTCTGGGTGAGATTTCACTTGTTTTATCAGATATACATATGAATTGCGAAGACTGTGTCAAGTAACTGATATGACACTACTTAATGAGTTCAAGAAAGCTGCCAGACGATTACATTTGTAATTCTATGTGTATTGTGAGATGTTGTAGAATGCTACACTCCCAGACACATTTATCAGGATACTTACTGCCTCCCCAGCCCCTCCCAATGTTGGTTTGCAAGGTGGCATAGACACACTGGCAATTAACAACACTGGAAAGGGGAAACGAGAGAAAGAGAATCATAGGCATTGTTCTGGAGAAGTATTCCAGCTCAGTTATGTTTGAGATTGCAATCTTGTTTTGAATTGGATGTGATATAGTTTATAGCATTGTGTAAAGGTGGAGCTCACTGACAATTTCCATAGTACCCTCTAATACCCCCTGTGAATGCTTTTGGAGGGATTAATTTATAATGCTAATAATTCCACTATTTAACTGGGTTGCTGACTACAGGATAATAAAATAGTTTTGTTGAACTTTTTTAATCTCATAGTGGAAAAACAAGGGACTGGCTTTGGTTTTCTGCATTCTTCAGTACTTAGCCATGACATGGTATGTAGATTTTAAATAGCTGCTTTCATCAAAAATAGTTTCTTGTACTATTTGATTAAATACTTGATTGTTTTAATTGTGTTTTTGCAGGTACTGTCTTTCCTACATTCCATTTGCAAGGTGAGAATTTAAATCTTCCAAGTCTTGCATTGAAAGTTATTAGAAAATAGGTATTTTTGTTTAATTGTAGTACCCTAGTGATTGAATGAATGGATATTTCCATAATGAACCCAATAATATCTGCATTTGTGTCACATAAGTATACACGTGGGTGCATCATCAATTGGCAAGAGGAGATGGCCGATACCTGCTACCGAATAGCATCCCTTCCAGTAGAAGTTGCCACATTCCTTTTTGTTTTGTGGAAATTGGGATTGGCTCTGCCAGTTATGGGCTAATAGTCTTGTAGAACTTAACAGCATTTCTTTCCAAAACCTATTTTTTTTTCTTTCATTTATGAGGCATCTTGTTTTCTTTCTTTTAGAGATGCGGTGAAAAAATGTGTCACAAGCTGTATGGCTTAATAGTTTTTTTTTTTGACAATGGAGAGGTCAACCACCATGTTCAGAATTTGTTCTTAGAGTTAAAAATTATTTTAATGGTCATGGTTGATGTGATGCTTATAATACCATCCTTAATATCAATTGAGCATCCAGTTTCTTGGCTTTGTTGTTATTGTGATTGTGTTCCTAAATTCTATTAATGTCTTTCCTGTTCCTGGTACCTTTGACAGGAATTTATCATCCTGTGTCTGATTTTGATCTTCACAGAAAGGAAAAAAGATAATGATTTTACCAGGAAAATGTGATAACACCCATGAAAGAATTTTACATGCTCATTGGCTGAGACCATGCCAATTTATCCCAAACATTACAAAAGTTACAAATGAATGCAAAAAGTTGAAATTGATGCAGAAAGTTGAATTTAGTAAATGTTTTTAGCATGTAATGAAATAGTAACATGTAATGGAATGCAGTTTGGAATAATAACCACAGGGGAATTACTTGACAGTTCTTATTTATCCCAAATTGCATTTTGAAATCAACAGTATCCAGTGGGCAGTGAATTCCACCAAACCCTGTCTGATATTTAACAAGACGTAACCCATTGAAATGATAATAATCATCAATTTGCAGATGAATTATTTTCCGTAACTTGGTTGATAGATTCTAAGCAGGTTAAAATAAGATCAAAATTTGTACAAAATTAAGAAATCACAGATCTACTATAATTCTAAGTTCTTAGCTTTGGTTAACATTTTGAAAGTTCTGTTCGATTTTAGAGTACTCCTGTAAACCATAACAGAAATTGACATACACCAATTAAGATATTGTATCATCATAGAAATTAATGTGTCAAATAGACTGCAGGTTTTAAAAACTTTGTCTGATATTTAACAAGGTAATACTTATTTTCTTAGTTACTTTATAAACCTGGTTGAAGAAGTTGAGCAGGTTTAAGTAAGACTAAAATTTGTTAAATGTCCATAGTAGCTGTCTTTGTTGGTCTTCATTCAATCTTTGGCTTTGATTGTTTGTTTGTTTGCCTGAGAATGGTACTGTACATCACTTCAAGATATGATAACAAACTGTCTTCATAGTGAAAGAGGCTGTCATAATATTTTAAGTGGCTTTACAGTACACCTATTTGAATCATCGCCATGTAGACAAAAGTGCATTTGACGTGCTCTTTTTCATAGCCAAAAATGCTCTTTGTACAGTTTATATTGGCTTACCATCTGAAAACAAAAGATGTGTGAATGGCTTTCACTGGCTGTGTTTGCAGAGTTTGAATTACTGGGTATTTCTATGACCTACAACCATGCAAACATGGCCGAGATGAACAGTTTGAACTTGACATTTAAGCAACATCATTGTGGGAACTTGACATTTAAGCAACATCATAGTGGGAACTTGACGTTTAAGCAACATCATCGTATGAACTTGACATTTAAGCAACCTTGTAGTGAGAACTTGACATTCAAGTAACATCATAGTGTGCAGAAGTCATAGGTCAAAGAACACCTATGATTTTAGCGTTTCAAACTCATCATTTGAAGGGTTGGATTTGAGAATGTTGTTCATTTCTGCTCTCTGATTGATTTTCTTTATCCTGGTGATTACAGTGATACAGATAGTGCAGCAAGTGTCAGAGAATTATTTATAAAAATAACTAAAGGTATAAATAAACCAAAATGGAACAAGGATTTTTTGACAAAGTCAGGTTAAATTTTACAAGTTCAATTGATTCTAACATAGCTCCTGTATGAGTTTACAAACAGCACTTTAGCTTGTGAGCAAGTTGTCTTAGGCACTCAGTTTGCTGTTTGTCCCTCAGCACTAGTGAGAGCATGGGCACAGGGTATGCTTAACATAGACCGCAAACATTCAAGGCACAATTATAGTAACTGCAAATCTTACGCATTGTATGAAGAGGAATTGGAAGATTCCTTTTGTTGCATCAATTTCTTATTCTCTGTTGTTAGCAAGTTGTAATGTTCAATGTAAATAAAATAATTTGTTTGATGATATTTTACAAGAGGTTGGCCATGTTTCAGGTTAATTTTTGGAGATGATGTTTGGACAGAATAATCAACAAGGTTTGGGACTGCAGAATGTCAAAACTTTAGTTTTTTGGAAGAAGGGGTCATGATATATAAGCATTGTGATGTTTTTGCCTTGAAATGCATTGAAGCTTGTTTCTGCAACCAGCGCAGTGGTTGGGTAGTACACTTCCCCCTTGCCAACCCACCCCTTATCCACCTAGATGCCAATGCCTTCATCGTGAAGATTAAAAAAAGAAAGAAAGAAGGAAAAAAAAAAGAGGAAAAGAATGAGAAAAAACGCCCAGCCAGTACGGTTTATGATCTGCAAGGTTGCGTAACTAATCGTGTGAAAACACTTTACACCAGTCTCCTGCGTCAAAGTGGAACACCACGGGCGAGGACCGGATCGGAAGCGATGTTTACCAGATGGTTTATGAACCAGCACTCACAAAAACTATAAAGGTTCTTTATTTGCGATTTGTCTCATGGGAAAACGGGTATTCAAATGAAGCATTTGAATGAAAATGAGCCGTAAAAGAAAAAGACGCCGTGAGAATTCGGAGGACAGCAGTGATGAAGAGGATGACACTTGCAGCCGTGAAGGTCTCAATGGCAGTGGAACGTGCAGTAGACACAGTCTGACTCAGGAAGAGGATACAGAGGCGAGTATCAGTTAGGATGATCCAACGTGAACGGGGTATTTAGGAATGAAACTCAACCTCGATTAAGGAACGAACTGAAATAATATATATAAGCACATGCAACACTAACAATAATATCGATAAGGTATCATACATTCATTCATTCATTCATTCATTATTTGTTTGAGCAGGGTGAGTTTATGGCAGCAATTTGCTGATGTGGACCGCTATTTTCTTCACCCATCCCACCCCAGGGGAGAACATCCACCACACAGTAATTTCGTGCTTGGGAAATTAACGTCTCCAACCCCTAACCCCTGCAGGAGACGGAGCCTACGGTTTATTCGTCCTTGTCCGAGAAGACTAGAATCTCTATCCATTTCTTGATATTTTAGAAGGGTAACAAATTCTCCTTGGTTATTTTAAGACCATGAATATTGGTCCGGCCGGGGCTTGAACCCTCGACCTCCCGCACAACACAATCTGGCACTCTAACCAATTGAGTTAACCAGGGGTGGTTCGAAAACAGTAGATTACCATTGGGACCGAGGCTTTGGTTAAGAATTGCATGGGGTTGTGCAGGCTTTGGGTCAGCTAACCTCCCGGTTAGCTCAATGGGTAGAGTGCTGGACTGATGTGCGGGAGGTCGAGGGTTCGAGCCCCTGCTGGACCAACACTCAAGGTCTTAAAATAATCGAGAAGAATAAATTATGCTGCCTTTCTATAACATCAAGAAATGATTTAGATATTCTAGTCTTCTTGGATAGGGACGAATAAGTGGAGGTCCCGTCTCCAGCAGGGTGAGAGGTAGGAGACGTTAATTTCCCATGCACGAGATTACTGTGTGATGGATGTCCTCCCCTGGAGTGGGATGGGTGGGTTGTTGTCTTGCGTTTCATACATGAGCCTCTGGCACGGGCAATCAGTGGGTGACCATGCCCCACATAAAGACATTAGACTTTAATTACTATTACTATTACTATGTATATCTTGCTACTTGGGAGAAGGAATCGGATCGGATCTCACTGACGAGATTTTTCTTGAGGAAGATGGTAGCGGACAGAGAAGACTAAGGGCTCCATACATCTTAAGTGGTTGTGCTGTATGCATTGTATTACCCTTATAAATAGTGACCCCGGAACCTTAATGAAATTTTCTAAGCTTTTGCAAAGAAGATTTGTCTTAAGTGGCAAGTAGCATATCTCAAGGCAAACTCAATAAGGAAGGAGGGGATGGAATGGATGTTAGGGTGCATCCCCCCCATAAAGAAAGTGATAACTTATAACAGAATATATCTTTTCAAGCTCTATGATAAATACTGGTAAATTTCTTATCACCCTTTTGAATAGAGATATTTTACTGTACTACAAAAAGTCCTCATCCTTTAAATTTATATTCTTGAGCAAACCAGAACTTTTACTGCCTTAAATATGAAATAGAAAAAGTTATCATTTTTGGGATTGCAAATTAATATTTTTTTGACCAGTTGTTATCAATTTACCAGGAAAAAGAATTACCAGGAATTATTGAGAATATAACCTTGGTAAATTTCCTCTGCCACCGTAACCTTTCTGTTCCTTTTGGACCACGTGTGAACTTCATAGTTGGTAGAAATGGAAGTAAGTTCTTTCTTTTGAGTTCAAGTGTACAGTGTACATGGCTGGTAACAGAAAACCAGAGTGAGAAAGACTAGACAGTGTCAGTGGCAGATCTAGACCTTGAGCTAAGGAGGGAGGCCTGGTTTTTTGTGTGTGTGTATAACTCCTGGCTTCTCTTCCTTCTGTGTTTATTTATTTTTACCCAAAATAAGGGGGGGAGGGAGGACTCAGGTCCCATTGGGCACCTTCCCTAGATCCACCACTGAGTGTAGCTGGTGGGTTTGTGAGAGCTTGGTTAAAAAGGAAATGGTAGAAGTCTATTTATGATGGGGAACGATACATAGAAAATTAGATGACAGCCTGTAAAAAGTAGAAGATACCTACTATTTCTGTCTGTGCAGGAATGTGCATCAGGCATCTTGTGTTCACTTGATTGATTGATTGATTTGATTGATCCCCCATGTCCTTGAGCATATTTCTTGACATGTCATCCCTTTTGGACATGCACAACCTCATCTATGGTACAGTTAACAACTGATCTTATTGTTTAGGTGGAAAGAGTGCAATTATGACAGGCATTGTGTTGGCACTGGGAGGAAGAGCTGCACAAACTAGTAGAGGTCTTAGTGTCAAGAACTTTGTAAAGAGAGGATGCAGGTAGTTTAACTTAATAAAGAAAGTAACACACAATTAAAAAAAGTTCAGGTCAAAGTCAATACACAGGGTCACTTGTCAGTTGCATTCCTTTTGTGCTTCATTTGTGGTTAGCATTAATTTACTTTAATTATGGTTGGAATCAGTTTCTGCTGTCAAATAGCATGGAACATTTCAATGATGTAGCTTGCATGCATCTGACATTCAGTGGTTTTTGATGGAGTGTTGCCAAAACTGAAACCAAAGTTATCACAGCAACCAATCAGAAAAAAAGATTAAAATTGCCATTAGCCAATGAGAGCTCAAAATAAAAACAGGCAAAATGCATTTGCCTAAACTAAGTTGCTATTGGTTTTAGTTTTACATTGGATTGAATAAAGAGGGTGTTGTGATTTTTCCAGATCAATCACACATACCATACCAGCTGCACCTTTTTGCCCAAAAATTTCATAACAAATCAGGGGTGCAGCTTATCTGCAAGAATATCTGGAAAATGTCCAGGCATTTGCATAAATTAAAACTTTTCAAAGAGAATTTATCTAAGTCTTTGTAGCACAGACTCTAACAAATTTTTCTTGCAGCTGTTGAGTGGTGTGCAACCCTTTTTTGTTAGGAGAAAGCACTCAAAAAAAAAAAAAAAACCCTTCTAGTCATCTAGGATTTGTAGATTTCCCAACTTGGGGTGTGACTGATCTGCAATTGTGGCTTATATACTGGTGTTTACAGTGAAGTAAAGTGAAACTAAAGGACTCGTAGAGATGCTGCTTTGTTTTGCAGTTCTGGGCATGTTTCAATCAAACTCAGTAACAGAGGCTCTGATGCATTTAAACATAGTGAATATGGAGACTCTGTCACCATAGAAAGAAATATAACCTCAAGTGGTGGATCGTCATACAAGATTAAGTGCAATAAAGGTAAGCATGAATTGAAAGTGCCCCAATGTATATACTGGTAACTGATATTTTGGTTCTACTTGGGGGGTCCCCTGAAGGATCTTTGGTCCAATTATTCTTAGTATTGTTATAGACCCTTTCCTGTTTGTGCACTTACATTTTGGAACAGCCCACCTGATTAGTTAAGACTTACAAAGGGACCTGCCACTTCTTTCAAATGTGACTTCAAGACTACTTTCTTTTTGCAGTCATTTTCTTAGCCTTTGTAATTAGAGTATTTTGAATTTAAATTGACATTCAAGGCCCTAGAAGTTTAGTATATCTGCTCTATTTTAGGCTTACTACAGAACTATACTGACAATAATACTCTGTGAAGTGAGAAAAACTCTGGTAAGTGATGTGATAGACTATATACCAAGATGTTTTATTTCCTTTCAGGGAAAGTAATTTCCACTCAGAGAAGTGAAGTGGATCAAATTGTGGACCATTTCAATATTCAGGTGACTCTCTGTTTGTTCTTAAGTTGATTGTTACTGATCAGGTGACTTTCTGTTTGTTCTTAAGTTGATTGTTACTGATATGTTAATTGTTAACTTTAACTACTGACAGAAGTAAAAGAAAGATTATATTAATAACAAGCACTTACAGTATCCTTATTTATGATGAGAGTTAACTGTGAGTCTTTTTCAGGTCGACAATCCAGTTTCTCTTTTAAACCAAGACACAAGTCGGCATTTGCTAAACAGCAATGATGACCATGATCTTTATAAGGTAAAATGATAAACATCATATGTGATGTCTGTTTTGGCAGATCACAGTTTGAAATTACTGTTTTTAGGCCACTTGTAATTTTTGGCCAAAGGTTGTGAAACACTCTCTAAAATATTTGATTGACCACTCTTGGAATATAGGTAATCATTGTGCATGTCTATGTAACAAATTGTTACCCATTTTTTGGTCTTCAAATCCCCTTCTAAATACCAACAAGTCAGGTTTCAACATGCACCTTTAACTTTATTTGCATTACAGTTGATTGCAGTTGCTAAAGGAACAACTAATTGCAAGTTATTACAAAATACGAGTAAAAAGAATAGAAACACATAAACAACAGAGGAAAAGGGCTGTGTCTAAAAGTGAGATGGGGACGTGGGATGTGGGATGTGGGACGTGGGACTCAGGGACACTGGGACTCGGGGATGTGGGATGCGAGGAAGTTGAGATTCAGCAACGTGTGGGGACATGGGGATGTGATAAACAAACAACACCTGATTTTTGCACTTATCTGTAAAGTATATGTGCACGATCCTTCGCAGTTAAGCACCATTTAAGCAACAGTGAAAATCAGACCTGAAAAAAATTCAGGCCTGTACGGGATTCGAACCACTGACCTCTGCGATACTAGTGCAGCGCTCTACCAATTGAGCTAACAAGCCAACTGGGAGCAGGCCATCAAATTAATTCTGCGAAGGATCGTGCACATATACGTTTCATAACCGCAGTTCATACATATGTATTTCATATGTTTGTTGTTTGATTTATCATCTACGGGTTTAGGCCTGAATTTTTTTCAGGTCTGATTTTCACTATTGCTTAAATAGTGCTTTACTGCGAAGGATCGTGCACATATACGTTTCATAACCGCAGTTCATACATATGTATTTCATATGTTTGTTATCTGTAAAGTATAATTTTTAGGGGTCTCGAGAAAGGTATTATACTACCAGAACAGGTAGAAAATTTTTTTTTGAGATGTGCGTAACAGTTGGCATCAGCAACAACGAATGAAACTGAGGTGTCTACATTTGATGATCTGATGCTAATCACAAGGAATAAATTAGAGTGTCCACAATTTATTCCTGATGAAGAATTGCAGATTCAGTAGAACTCCAGTGTTTACAATTTTTTCCTGAGGAAGAATTAATAAAGTAGGGTGTAAATAATTTATTTTACTTTCTTTTCTGGAAGATAGATGTCAACTAACTACAACAGACGCAAGTTGTGACTACTAATGACGAAAGTATCCTCATCATCCCTGTACTGAATCCGCAATTCTTCCTGAGGAAT